CCATCCATCCTTCCATACTGTACATCTTTCCACCCATCCACCCTTCCCTCCTTCCATTAATCCATCCATCTGCCCCTCCATCTATCCACCCATCTCGCCATACATCTGTCCCCCCCATACATCTAGTGTTTACAGATGAAGGGGTGGATCTTAAACAGGAAGGGGTGGGGCAAATTTACATAAGGGGATGGGGGGCACCCGATTTTAGTCTTGCCTAGAGCAGCAGAAAACCAAAATCCACCACTGTTACTAGATTAATATGGCTACCAATATTTTTATTTTAACAAATCTGAACCTAAGCCTGAAAAATGCAATCAAAATATTTCTAGATTTTGAGCACATCCCAATGTACGTCTTGGAGAAGAACCCACACTTGTGTATTGTGGTCGATTGGTCAACTGTAGTCTCTTTTGGAAGCCACTACAAGGATGACAACACATGAGCACAATTGGAAGACAGGGACAGAAGAATCTCACCCTAGAACAGGATGTTCCAGAACAAGGATGGCAGGGTAACTATGTATTATATCACAAAATGATCAGTTTTAAAATAATTGAAATGGATTTTAAAATCACACTAACATTTTAAAGATTTCAGTGATTGGGTTTACATATTTTTATTTTCGAAAAAGCAATAACATTGACAAATACACTGGATAATAGTTACAGTATGTGTATGCAGTATCCTAAAGATGTCTGGGCTTCTGGTGCCTTCAGGTGATCAAGCTCTGTGTGTATATACAGGGGTTAGACAAAAAAATGGAAACAGTACATGATTTGAAGGTGTGAAAGTGACACTCTTTTGTAACATTCTTTTGCTTCCACCATGTAATGGGACACCTCGCTAACAGTTGGAAAGTCTCATTTTTGTAATTCACTGCGTGCACTGCTAGTAATATGGAGTCATATTAGAATATGGAGTAATACGGAGTCATATTATTTGAAGCTTACTGGGCTTCAAAGAGAGCAAATTGTTGGTGCCCGCTTAGGTGATGTCTCTGTGACTGAAGTTGCCAAATTATTTGCTGTGTCGTGAGGTACAGTATCAAAAGTTCCCATATGGAAGAAAAATATATTTGAAATATATTTTAAAAATATTCTTCCCAAATATATTGCCATATATTTGAAACACTACAATTTTGGCCATATTCAATATATTTCAAAATATATTTCAATAAATAAATAAATATATATATGTATATATATATATACACAGTTGTGTTCAAAATAATAGCAGTGTGTTGAAAAAAGTGAATAAAGCTCAAATTCCTTCTAATGGCTTTTATTTCCATACACACAAATGCATTGGGAGCACTACACATTCTATTCCAAATCAAAACATGAAGAAAAATATATCACATTTGTGTTGTTCCTCTAAAAAAATTGAAGAAAAGTGAATATTAGACCGTTCATAAAAATAGCAGTGTTTGTATTCTTTACAAACTCAAACATTCACTGTATAAACTGAAAAATGTTTGAAGATTTTGCTTTCCTTTGAATCACTTAATTAATATTTAGTTGTATAAGCACTGTTTCTGAGAACTGCTGTACATCTGTGTTGCATGGAGTCAACCAACTTCTGGCACCTGTGAACAGGTATTCCAGCCCAGGATGATTGGACTACATTCCACAGTTCTTCTCTATTTCTTGGTTTTGCCTCAGAAACTGCATTTTTGATGTCACCCCACAAGTTTTCTATTGGATTAAGATCCGGGGATTGGGCTGGCCAATCCATAACGTCAATCTTGTTGGTCTGGAACCAAGATGTTGCACGTTTACTGGTGTGTTTGGGGTCGTTGTCTTGTTGGCACACCCATTTCAAGGGCATTTCCTCTTCAGCATAAGGCAGCATGACCTCTTCAAGTATTCTGATGTATTTAAACTGATCCATGATCCCTGGTATGCGATAAATAGGCCCAACACCGTAGTATGAGAAACATCCCCATATCATGATGCTTGCGCAACCATGCTTCACTGTCTTCACAGTGTACTGTGGCTTGAATTCAGTGTTTGGGGGTCGTCTGACAAACTGTCTCCAGCCACTAGACCCAAAAAGAACAATCTTACTTTCATCAGTCCACAAAATGTTGCGCCATTTCTCTTTAGGCCAGTCAATGTGCTCTTTGGCGAATTGTAACCTCTTCAGCACATGTCTTTTCAAGAGTGGGACTTTGCGGGGGCTTCTTGCAGATAGCTTGGCTTCACATAGGCGTCTTCTAATTGTAACAGTACTCACAGGTAACTTTACACCTTCTTTGATCTTCCTGGAGCTGATTGTTGGCTGAGTCCTTGCCATTTTGGCTATTCTTCTATCCATTTGAATGGTAGTTTTTCGCTTTCTTCCACGTCTTTCAGGTTTTGGTTGCCATTTTAAAGCATATGCGATCATTTTAGCTCAGCAGCCTATCATTTTCTGCACTTCTTTATATGTTTTCCCCTCTCAAATCGACTTTTTAATCAAGGTACGCTGTTCTTCTGAACAATGTCTGGAACGACCCATTTTCCTCAGAATTTCAGAGAGAAATGCACTGTTACCAGCATGTACAACAATTGCTGCCTTCCTTCCTTAAATAAGGGCAATAATTGCCACCTGTTTTTCAAAGAATTAATGACCTCACTAATAGAACTCCACACTGCTATTATTTTGAACATGCCCCTTTCTATTAGTGATTCAATTACACAGAATCAGCAGCATGCATGTCATGACTGTTGGATTTCTATTACTCTACTTCACCTGCTAGTAAATTATTTGCCATGTATAAATATCATTTCTACCAAAAACAGTGATTGATCAGGTTAGTGATGTCTGACTGCTATTATTTTGAACACAACTGTATATACTGCATGTTGAATTGCGGTATTACAAAATATATGAAAACTATTTTTAAAAATACATTTCAGATATACTGTATGTCTTTAAAAATACAAATCTACATTTTTGGAATGCATTTACAAATATATGTAAAAATATGTTAAAATTACTTTTTTATATGTTATAAAAATCTGAAGAATATATTTAAAAATATATATTTGTAAATGCACCCGAATCTTGGCGAGAACTGGAACGATTTTTTAATTAAGATTGGTATTAGATTCCATTATCCACCATCTAAGACTTATATTTGTCAATTTCCAGGAGAATTCAGGTGTTCTTGGATGCCAAAGGTGGTCCAACACCTTCTAGATAACAACTTTGTTCTTTTACCTGGTGTTTCCATAATTTTGTCATATATACAGTTGTGGCCAAAATTATTCAACCCCCAATGCTGTAAAGGGGTTTAGGGACTATAGTGTACATTTGGAATTGTATTCAGAATCAAATCCTACAAGGACGTTGTAACTACCCAAATGCAACTAAAATGACATCAATTGTTTATGTAATACAGTAGTAAATGGTTCTTATGTGGTTTCTTCATTGCCACAATTATTCAACCCCTTAAAGACTACCACTCTGAAGAACAGAGGTTCATACAGGTGCTTTCCATCAGGTATTGAAAACACCTGTGGATGTCACCGAGCAGCAATCAAGCATAATAAGCACCAATTAGGCAGCTTTAAAATGACTGTGATACTCAGCTCCTTCTAGACATTTACTGGTGTGGTTACAAACATGGTGAAGGCAAGAGAATGGTCCAGGAAGACAAGAGAAGAGGTGATTTCTCTTCACAGGAAGGGCAATGGCTATAAGAAGATTGCAAAGATGTTAAACATACCAAGAGACACCTTAGGAAGCATCATTCGCAAATTCAAGGCAAAGGGCACTGTTGAAACGCTACCTGGTCGTGGCAGAAAGAAGATGCTGACTTCGACTGCTGTGCGCTACCTGAAGCGTAGAGTGGAGAGAAGTCCCCGTGTGACTGCTGAGGAACTGAGAAAAGATTTGTCAGATGTGGGTACAGAAGTTTCAGCCCAGACAATAAGACGCACACTGCGTAATGAAGGCCTCCGTGCCAGAGAACTCCCCCCCACCAGCGTACCCCCTTGCTGTCTCCAAAGAATAAGAAGAGTCGACTGCAGTATGCCAAAAAGCCATGTGGACAAACCACAAAAGTTGTGGGATAGTGTTCTGTGGACTGATGAAACAAAATTAGAACTGTTTGGGCCCATGGATCAACGCTATGTTTGGAGGAGGAAGAACAAGGCCTATGATGAAAAGAACACCTTGCCTACTGTGAAGCATGGTGGAGGGTCAATCATGCTTTGGGGCTGTTTTGCTTCTGCAGGTACAGGGAAGCTTCAGCGTGTGCAAGGTACCATGAATTCTCTTCAGTACCAGGAGATATTGGATGGAAACGTGATGCAGTCCGTCACACACCTGAGGCTTGGGAGACGTTGGACCTTTCAACAGGACAATGATCCCAAGCATACCTCCAAGTCCACTAGAGCATGGTTGCAGAGGAAAGGCTGGAACATTTTGGAGTGGCCATCGCAGTCACCAGACTTAAATCCGATTGAGAACCTCTGGTGGGACTTAAAGAAAGCAGTTGCAGTGCGCAAGCCTAAGAATGTGACTGAACTGGAGGCCTTTGCCCATGAAGAATGGGCGAAGATACCCGTAGATCGCTGCAAGACACTTGTGTCAAGCTATGCTTCACGTTTAAAAGCTGTTATAACTGTAAAAGGATGCTGTACTAAGTACTAAGATTGAATGTCACTTGGGGGTTGAATAAAACTGATAATGCTGTGAGCACAGAAAAGACATTTGTGGTTATTTCATTATAACTGTTATGTTATATTTGTCTGACCTACAAGTGCCTCTTTAATGTAAATGTAAGCAAGATGACTGAATGATCAAAAGCAATGTCAAACTGGCCAAAACACTCAATTTCAGTGGGGGTTGAATAATTTTGGCCACAACTGTATATATATATATATAAATATATATATATATACACACACACACTATATTGGCAAAAGTATTGGGACACCCCTCCAAATCATTGGATTCAGATGTTCCAATCACCTCCATGGCCACAGGTGTATAAAACCAAGCACCTAGGCATGCAGACTGCTTCTACAAACATTTGTGAAAGAATGGGTCGCTCTCAGGAGCTCAGTGAATTTAAGTGTGGTACCGTGATAGGTTGCCACCTGTGCAATAAGTCCATCAGTGAAATTTCCTTGCTACTAAATATTCCACAGTCAACTGTTAGTAGTATTACAACAAAGTGGAAGCAACTGGGAACAACAGAATCTCAGCCACAAAGTGGTAGGCCACATAAAATGACAGAGCGGTGTCAGCACATGCTGAAGAGCGCAGTGCGCAGAAGTTGCCAACTGTCTGCAGAGTCAATAGCTAAAGACCTCCAAACTACATGTGGCCTTCAGATTAGCACAATAACAGTGCGTAGAGAGCTTCATGGAATGGTTTTCCATGACCGAGCAGCTGCATCCTAGCCTTACGTCACCAAGTGCAATGCAAAGCGTCAAACATAGTGGTGTAAAGCATGCCGCCACTGGACTCTAAAGCAGAGGAGACATGTTCTCTGGCGTGATGAATCATGCTTCTCTGTCTGGCAATTGGATGGACGTGTTTGGGTTTGGCGGTTGCCAGGAGAGGGGTACTTGCCTGGCTGCATTGTGCCAAGTATAAAGTTTGGTGGAGGAGGGATTATGGTGTGGGGTAGTTTTTCAGGGGTTGGCCTTGGCCCCTTAGTTCCAGTGAAGGGAACTCTTAAAGCATCAGCATACCAAGACATTTTGGACAATTTCATGCTCCCAACTTTGTGGGAACAGTTTGGGGATGGCCTCTTCCTGTTCCAACTTGACTGCACACCAGTGCACAAAGCAAGGTCCATAAAGACATGGATGAGCGAGTTTGGGGTGGAAAAACTTGACTGGCCTGTACAGAGTCCTGACCTCAACCCAACAGAACACCTTTGGGATGAATTAGAGTGGAGACTGCGAGCCAGGCCTTTTCGTCCGATACCAGTGCCTGACCTCACAAATGCGCTTCTGGAAGAATGGTCAAACATTCCCATAGACACCCTCCTAAACCTTGTGGACAACCTTCCCAGTACTTTTGGCAATATATATATATAAATATATATATATATATATATATATATATATATATATATACACCCCTGCACAGGCTGCTTGATAATGCTTGTCCCCATTGGTTGCCCTGACTTTGCATGCCTTCTGATACCTCTGACACTTGGGTTCAGACATATTTCAACAGCATGAAATAATAATGTAAGAGACATGATTCTTTGGTAACACCTCTATATCAGGCGCATTCAGAAGAGTAGACAACAGAATGAAGGTTTAGGTTGCATCCCCAGTTAACACATAAAAGCAAAGCACTGATAAAATTGAAATAACCAAATAGCAACAGTTCACAGATTATACAGTCACAAATGGTACGTTGTAACTACAGTATATAACTGCAAAACCAGCAGCAGGAGGGGGAAGAAAAGGCTTGTTGACTTATCTGCTCTGTCTGCTCCCTCTAGAGACCAGCGTCACAATAGGGAAAGCAAAAAATGATATACAGTATGTGCAGTGCTCATCATAAATGAGTGCAACCCCAACAGATTTGTCAGAAAACCTTTACTTTTCTTTCAGAATTTTCTATGTGACACTATACTACAAAATACTCCCACAAATGCGGGCCATTGACTGCATACAAGATTTGTTAATTTGCACACACACAAAAAAAGTATTTTTTCTAACAAATTTATTCAAGACCATGTTGCAGAAATGAATACACCCCAATGAAAGTCTTAGGGGCAAAGCTAAATTTTAGACAACAAAATTCTAATTAACATGAATTCAACTACAGGTGAGCCTAGTTATTCATTAACCAGGTGCCCAGCAGGCAGTTGATTATAAAAGGGCATTGCTTAACAAAGAAAAACCCTTCCCATTTCATGTTGTCAGCAATGGCACCACATGGAAGAGAAATGTCAAAAGGCCTGAGAAATAAAAATAATTTCTTTACAACACAAAAGATGAAGGTTACAAAAAGATCAGCAAAGCTTTACTTATCAGTCAGATTACTCTAGCAAAAAGTGATACAAAACTTTAACAAAGATGGAACTGCAACCATCTCACAGAGACATCCAGGCCATCCACAGAAGTTAACACCCTGAAATTACCATCTTCTGATGAGAAGGGTAGAAGAAAATTGCCATGCAAGTTCACTGCAGTTAGCCAAAGAAATAGAAAGCCAAACTAGGGTGATTGTTTCCCATGACACAATACGGTGTACATTACAGAGGAATGGTATGCATGGGTGTCATTCAAGACGGAAGCCTCTCACAAAGCCCATGCACAAAAAGAACCTGCCTAGAATTTGCCAGGGCCCATGCTGAAAAAGAGGAAGACTACTGGGACTCTGTACCTTTGAGTGATGAGACCAAGATAAATGTTTTTGGAACTGATGGCTTCAAAACTGTATGGTGTTGCAAAGATGAGAAGTACAGAAAAAAATGCATGGTGCCTACAGTGAAACATGGTGGTGGCAGTGTCCTTCTGTGGGGCTGCATGAGTGCTGCTGGTGTCGGGGAGCTGCATTTGATTGATGGTATCATGAATTCACAGATGTACTGCTCCATATTGAAAGAGAAGATGCTACCATCACTTGTGCCCTTGGTCATCGTGCACTTTTCCAATATGACAATGATCCAAAACACACATCTAAGGCCACTGTTGCATCTCTGAAGAAGAACAGGGTGAAAGTGATTCAGTGGCCAAGTATGTCTCCTGATCTGAAGGCAATCGAATACCTATGGGGAATTCTGAAGAGACAAGTTGAGCATCACTCTCCATCCAGCATCCAGGCTCTAAAAGAGGTCATTTTTGAAAAACTAGATGTTGCAATATGTCGCCAACTTGTTCATTTCATATCTAAAAGACTTGGTGCTGTCCTTACAAATCATGGAGGTCATACAAAATACTAGATGTAGTAGTTTTTGTTGTAGGGTGTATTCATTTTTGCATCAGCAAATTTGAGTAAAACTGAAGATTTTGTAATCTAAGTTAAATTATTAACTTTACTTTCATGTAATGAGCTAAAACAAATGTTCTACAAAACTCAGTTTTGTCAAACTTTTGAAAATTGTTCTTGTGTTCATTGAGATATTGATTAAAATCTTACTTTTCAAAAGGGGGTACTCATAGACACCCTCATTTGAAGAGGTCCCTTTAACTAGAAATAGCAACTTGAGACCGGAGATATTTAAAGTTCTTGATGCGATAGTAGCTGTTGTCTTCTGCTATCAATGGTGGGGCCCATATACAGTAGTCAGTAATAATAATTCAATTAAGATAACAGATAGGCTGTGGCAAATGCTCAAAACAAAGATCTCTTGGTACAGAGGTGTAAAGGAGTCTGCATGCAGTGTCTCTAAAGTGTTGTCAGAAAGAGGTCGGGTATCTGCCCGCTCACCAATTCCATAGATTCCTAGGAACAGGGTGCAATCAGTTTTATTCCGAATTGAAACTCTGACAAATTTTTTATTATTTGGAGATTCGGATGTATTCGAATTTCCCAATTACAATAGTGACGAATTTGAAAATAGAACATTAATCCGAATTAACTAAATTAAATTTTGGCCAAAATTCAAATTCAAATTGAATTTGAAAACAAAATTTAATTAAAAAACAAGCATAGAATAAAATAGAATAGATAATGAAGGAATAGAATAGAAAACAATACAAAAGAAAATAATAAAATAGAAAAGAATAGAGTAAAAAAGAACAGAATAGAAAATAATAACATAAAACAGAAAAGAATATAATAGAATAGAAAATAAAAGAATAGAATAACAACATAGAATAGAATAGACTAGAAAATAAGGGAATATAAAAGAATACAAAAGAATAGAAAATAAAATAATAGAATAGAAAATAAAGGACTAGAATAGAAAATAATAGCGTAAAAGAGTACAGAATAAAATAGAAAATAAAATAATAAAATAGAGAATAAAGGAATAGATTAGAAAATAATAGAATATAAACTAAAGTATTAGAATAGAATAGAAAAGAATAGCGTAAAACAGAAAAGAATAAAAAATAATAGAATAGAATAGAATAGAATAGAAATAGAATGCATAAATAATAGAATAGATTAGATTAGAATAGAATAGAATAGAATAGAATAACATAGAATATAGTCACCTTCTGAAGTTAAAATTTTGAAAAGAATAGACGAAAACAAAATAGAACAGAATAGAACACAATAGAATAGATTAGAATAGAAAAAACAATAGAATAGAATAAAATAGAAAAAAAAATATAACCGTCTTCTGAAAATGGCTATTGGGTCTCTGCTGTGCTGAACTGGTATGCAGAGTCCTGCAGTAATCTGCAACAATCTGTCTCTGGAGGAGAACAGCAGTCCCCCTGTGTTCAGTTTTGAATCCTTCACCCCAGAGAGCAAGCCAGTTCCTTGCTGTAGAATAATTTCTGCTCTCCGAACAACCTTCTGGTTTACCAGCTCTCTGGTGGTTGTAGTTCAACCAGCACTCAGAAATACAGGATGTATTGGCTATAGGACTACAGGTCCCAAGATCCTCTGCCGTCAGAACTCCTAATTTGAAGTGATGTAGCAGTCCTAGTAATGGGCACTAGGAGGAAAAGGATTAATCATAGTCCTATCTGTAGCTGTCCCTTGATTTATGGTCCACAGTTCTAAGATGTTCTATAATGCAGCAGTGTGACATTAACATGCACTTACAAATATATGCCACAAAAACCTGTTTCACCTGAGTAGTTTAAAAAGTTTAGCTAGGTTTCTTTGTTGGCCAGCTAATAAGTGCGTTGGTAACCTTTTGCAGTTCACATGTTAGCAACACACCGTAATATTAATGGGCTATAGCATACCTCAATGGTCAAAAACTTTGGACCAGCTTCTTTTTTTGCAGTATATTGCAATGCACACTAAATATGTTGAATACAATAACACCAACCTTAGTGGCACTGGATGCACAAATAATCCCCATCATTGGTGTCAGTGAGTGCAAAAATAACCCTCAACATTGGTGTCAGTGGACACAATAATAAATTCCAGCATTGGAATCAGTGCACACAAGAATAATACCCAGCATTGAAGTCAGTGCATGCATTAATAACCTCCAACATTGGTGTCAGTGGACACAATAATAACCTCCAACATTGGTGTCAATCCGTGCAAAAATAACCCCCAACATTAGAGTCAGTTGATGCAATAATAACCCCAAGCACGCTTGTCAAAGGGCCCAATAATAATCCACAACAGTGGAGTCAGTGGATGCAATAGTAAGTCCCAACATTGGTGTCAGTGGACATAATGATAACCCCCAACATTGGTGTCAGTGGATGCAATAAAACCCCCCAGTACTGGTGTCAGTGGACACAATAATAACTCCCAGCACTGGTGTCAGTGGATATAGTAATAACTCCAGTACTGGTGTCAGTGGATACAATAATAACCCCAACACTGTTGTCACTATTACCCCACACACATTGGTGATTAGTGGCAGTAAAATTTAACCCCCCATGACAATCAATGTGGCAGAAGGGGATTAACTTTCACTGCTACTGACCATCATTGCAGGGAGGGCCAGTGGCAATGAAAGCTGCTCCCCCATCCCACACTCCTGTATTGGTGGAAATGGCAGTGAAAGTTAATCCCTTCCATAATCCCAGTCCCCAAAATTACTCCACTGGTGATTACTTACCCGATCACAGGCCCCATCTCCACTCTCTCTTTCTCCAGGCCAGGACTTTGTACTGTCAGCAGAGTTACCTCCACCTACAGTAAAATCTTTCAGTGCTGGGGGCTGGAACGAAGTGCTATTGTGTTCTGCTGCTGGAGAGCCGTCCCCGCCAGCAGAACACATGATTGCTGCTAGCGGCTATAACTGCCGGCAAGAAGATTGATGGATGGAATTGGATACAACCAGCCTGCCCATAGTTGGATCAAATCTCAGTTGGTCCCGGCTGAAATTCGATCCCTCTATAGGTGGCATAAATCTCAATTTCCTCTCATTTTGTATATTAACATGTGTAACACATATACTGTATGTTGGGATATGTAAAACTAATGTGAAAGTGCTTGCAGTAATGAGCTTTATTGCATATTTGTAGGTGTGACAGTGCTGTGGTGGGATTCAATTTTGGTGCATATTCAAGGATATTCATATTTAAATTAAAAAAATCATAGTCATCAGAGTTTTCAAGGGTATCCTAAAACAACCCCCTACTGGTCTCATATCTGATAAACAGGTCTTGTCATCCAGTAGCAGCAACTTAGTCTCCAAGAGCCGGGGTGCCCACATACCAAGGGTGCTCTACTATACAAGTTTTTTAATATATAGAAAGGTGCAGCGCTAAAAATGACAATAACAGGGAATCAATAAAATCAATATATGATAATTCTAATTAATGATATAAATAGTCCCAATAAAAATAAGATAAAATAAGTAAAAGTGCTCTGATAACTCTAGATCCGGTATAGGTGCAATAATGGTGAAAGTAATGCGCACTGTCAGGGCTCCGGGTATGACCAGAGGTGTGTGGACTGACACAGGGAAACGCAGGCTTCAGATATAGTATAAACAATATAATTTATTTAAGACTAAACAATACATAAACACAGTGCAAGACTAAACATAAACACAGTGCAAACAAACCAAAACCCCCAACAGATAACAAAAGAACAATACTAAGCGTAGTCGGGCAGGCCGGGTCAGTAGCAAACGGGCAGGCAAGGTACAAAGGAGCAGGCAGAGCGTAGTCAGACGGGCCGGGTCAGGAAAACAATCAGGCAGAGAAGGTACCAAAGGAGCAGACTGGAGAGTGGTCAGGAATAGCAGAGGTCAGGACAGGCGGAGTTCAATCAGAGTCAGGGATCAAGCAGGATCAGACAGGAAGCAGACAGGATGCAGGTACAGGGGCTCTTGGGAAACATACACCAAGGCCCTGATTGCAAGTCTGGCCATTCCTTATATGCACCTCCTGCAATCAGCCTCAGGTGTTTTGGCTGACTGCAGGAGTGAGCCTCTGGTTGCTGAGAGCACCTGCTGGCCAGTCCTGGTACTGCAACCCACAAGGCAGGTGAGTCCCACCACTATTGGCGAGTCCATTCCTGACAGTACCCCCCCCCCTCAAGGAGCGGCCTCAGGACGCTCCAAACCTTCCTAAATGGGCAAAATGTTCCACTGCCCGGATCTGGTAATTGGCGGGATATCAAGGACTGGTACATCAGGCTGGGCACCGGGCAGAGGCACATCAGGCTGGGCACCGGACGGAGGCACATCAGGCTGGACACCAGACGGAGGCACATCAGGCTGGACACCGGACGGAGACACATCAGGCTGGACACCGGACGGAGGCACATCAGGCTGGACACCGGACGGAGGCACATCAGGCTGGGCACTGGACGGGAGGCACATCAGGCTGGGCACCGGACAGAGGCACATCAGGCTGGGCACCGGACAGAGGCACATCAGGCTGGGCACCGACAGAGGCACATCAGGCTGGGCACCGGACAGAGGCACATCAGGCTGGGCACCAGGACAGAGGCACATCAGGCTGGGCACCGGACAGAGGCACATCAGGCTGGGCACTGGGCACCGGACAGAGGCACATCAGGGGGCACCGGGGCACCCACAGAGGCACATCAGGCTGGGCACTGGGCCACCAGGCAGAGCAACGGGCACCGGGCCACAAGGCGAAGCAGCGGGCACCAGGCCACCAGGCAGAGCAGCAGGCACCGAGTCATCTTGTAAGACAGCGGGCGCCGAGTCATCAGGCAAGACAGCAGGCACCGAGTCATCTGGCAAAACAGCGGGCATCGGGTCGTCAAGCTCGACAGCGGGCACCGAGTCATCTGGCAAGACAGCGGTCACCGAGTCATCTGGCAAAACAGCGGGCATCGGGTCATCAAGCAAGACAGCGGGCACCGAGTCATCTGGCAAGACAGCGGGCACCGAGTCATCTGGCACGACAGCGGGCACCGAGTCATCTGGCAAGACAGCGGGCACCGAGTCATCTGGCAAAACAGTGGGCATCGGGTTGTCAAGCTCGACAGCGGGCACCGAGTCATCTGACAAAAGAGCGGGCATCGGGTCGTCAAGCTCGACAGCGGGCACCGAGTCATCTGGCAAGACAGCGGGCACCAAGTCATCTGGCAAGACCGCTGGTACAGAGTCATCTGGCAAGACCGCGGGGCACCGAGTCATCTGGCAAAACAGCGGGCATCGGGTCATCAAGCTCGACAGTGGGCACCGAGTCATCTGGCAAGACAAGAGGCACCGAGTCATCTGGCAAAACAGCAGGCATCGGGTCATCAAGCAAGACAGCGGGCACCAAGTCATCTGGCAAGACAGCGGGCACCGAGTCATCTGGCACGACAGCGGGCACCGAGTCATCTGGCAAGACAGTGGGCACCAAGTCATCTGGCAAAACAGTGGGCATCAGGTCGTCAAGCTCGACAGCGGGCACCGAGTCATCTGACAAAACAGCGGGCATCGGGTCGTCAAGCTCGACAGCGGGCACCGAGTCATCTGGCAAGACAGCGGGCACCGAGTCATCTGGCAAGACCGCTGGCACAGAGTCATCTGGCAAGACCGCGGGCACCGAGTCATCTGGCAAAACAGCGGGCATCGGGTCTTTAAGCTCGACAGCGGGAACGAGTCATCTGGCAAGACTGCGGGCACCAAGTCATCTGGCAAGACTGCGGGCATTGGGTCGTCAAGCTCAACAGCGGGCACCGAGTCATCTGGCAAGACAGCGGGCACCGAGTCATCTGGCAAAACAGCGGGCACCGGGTCATCTGGCAAGACAGCAGGCATCGGGTCATCTGGCAAGACAGCGGGCACCGAGTCATCTAGCAAGACAGCGGGCACCGAGTCATCTGGCAAGGCAGCGGGCACCGAGTCATCTGGCAAGGCAGCGGGCACCGAGTCATCTGGCAAGACAGCGGGCTCCGAGTCGTCTGGCAAGACAGCAGGCTCCGAGTCATCTGGCAAGACAGCGGGCGCCGAGTCATCTGGCAAGACAGCGGGCGCCGAGTCATCTGGCAAGACAGCGGGCACCGAGTCATCTGGCAAAACAGCAGGCATCGGGTCTTTAAGCTTGACAGCGGGCACCGAGTCATCTGGCAAGACACCGGGCACCGAGTCATCTGGCAAGACACCGGGCACCGAGTCATCTGCCACAACAGCGGGCATCGGGTCTTTAAGCTCAACAGCGGGCACCAAGTCATCTGGCAAGACAGCGGGCACCAAGTCATCTGGCAAGACTGCGGGCACTGAGTCATCTGGCAAGACTGCGGGCACCGAGTCATCTGGCAAGACAGCGGGCGCCGAGTCATCTGGCAAGACAGCGGGCACCGGGTCATCAGGCATCGGATCGTCTGGCTCGACAGCGGGCACCGGGTCATCTGGCTTGACAGCGGGCACCGGGTCATCTGGCATCAGGTCATCTGGCTCGACAGTGGGTACCGGGTCATCTGGTTTGACAGCGGGCACCGGGTCATCTGGCATTGGATCGTCTGGCTCGACAGCGGGTACCGGGTCATCTGGCAACAGGTCATCTGGCTCCATCAGTTCAGCAGGCTGGGTAGGAACATCAGGCTGGGTAGAACCATCAGGCTGGGTAGAACCATCAGGCTGGGTAGCGTACACTAGGTCATCAGGCATCAGGGTATCAGGCTGAATTGCAGGTGCCGGGGCACCAGGCTGAACCACGGAATGCGGGTTCTCAGACGGCAGGCTGACCGGTTTGGATACTGGCAGGATGGTACTGGTTGGAAAGAATTTTCGCTTTTTCCTGGTTTTAGTTACTGGAGCACAGGAAGTAAGCGCAGGTCTGTAAGTGGATAGAGCAGCTGTAGAGAGAAGAGCTGAGGGATGGAACAAAGGAGGGAGCAGCTGCTACAGAGGACTTCTTTACAGGGTTAAAGAAAGGATAGGTGCAGCGAGTGGGAGCAGGGGACTGATATGTGGTAGTTAGAGAATACTGGGCCGTCACTGGGGGTGCTGTCGGGGATGCAGGAAGAGTGCCTTGAGCAGAGGAATGATGTTGCAAGCTGACTGAGGCTGGGTGCAACAAGTCTGACCATGTCTGCAGTATGGGTTGAACAAAGCTCAGCTTACACAAAGCCTGTCTGGTCAAAGACTGCACTGCGTTTATACAGTCTCTTAGTACCTGTTGTGAACATGCAGAATAATGCTCCAGAAAGTAACCCGCATCATCCTCCAATAACCATACCAGGGACTCTACCTGGTCGGCACTAAATGGCGGCAAAAATTCATCCCTGCTTTCGGGGGTACCAGATTGAATCAATGTACCTCATCTGTCCCTGATCAGGGCTCCGGGTATACTCCTTCAGAGTCTGACATAGGCAGAGTCATGGACTGACCCACAGCCAAGAAACGCAGGGTCTTCAGATATAGTATAAAACTGATATAATTTATTATAAAACAATATAATTTATTTAAGACTAAACAATACATAAACACAGTGCAAGAAACTAAACATGCAAACAAACCAAACCAAAACCAAGATAACAAAAGAAAATACTAAGCGTAGTCCAGGCTGGGTCAAAACGGGCAGAAGGTAAAAGGAGCAAGAGCGTAGAGACAAGGAACAATCAGGCAGACAAGCGTACCCCTCGGGTCAGGCTGATAAACAGGTCAGTTGCAAACGGGCAGGGGTGCAAGGTACAAAGGAGCAGGTGCAGAGCGTAGTCAGAATGACAATAACCAGGTCAGAAATTCAATCAGGTCCCAATAAAAATAAGGTACCAAAGGATCCGGTACAATAATGAGAGACCAGTGTATCAGGAATAGCAAAGGTCAGGACAGGCGGCAGTTCAATCAGAGTCAGGGCATCAAGCAGGATCAAACCAAAACCCCCAACAGGAAGCAGACAGGATAGCAGGTACAGGGGCTCTTGGGGCAAACATACACCGGGTCAAGGCCCAAAGGAGCTGATTGCAAGTCTGGCCATTTCCTTATATGCAAACTCCCTGATGCAATCTGGCCATTCCTTATATGCCAGCCTCAGGTGTTTTGGCTGACTGCAGGAGTGAGCCTCTGGTTGCTGAGAGCACCCGCTGGCCAGTCCTGGTACTGCAACCCACAAGGCAGGTGAGTCCCACCACTATTGGCGAGTCCATTCCTGACACGCACTCACCGGACGCGTATATTAAATGATGATGTCTTCCCTCTAAAGGGTGGTGGGTCATCAGACAGGTGGCTGACCTGGGACAGAATGGCTGAAGAGTGCTGGGGAAGGGCTGAGCGGGAGAGCCGGGAATGGAGGAGTCACGTTGCTCCAGCCATCTCTTAGATATCTGTGCTCACGAAGCTCTTCTCTGCAACCTAGACACACTACTCCAGGAGAGATCTCCATATCTGCAGTGGAGACCTACAAATCCAGGGAGCATTACCAGGCACCTTAAAGGGGAACCCTGAAGGATGAGGATCACCTGTAAATATTCCTTAAAAGGATCCTGTCTGATGACCCACCACCCTTTAGAGAGAAGACATCATAGTTCCTGACCCCTCTCCGTGCTGATGACATCTGGAATAATTATATAAGGCGCATTTAATATGCGCGTCCCGTGAGTGCGCATTACTTTCACCATTATTGCTCCTATACCGGATCCAGAGTTACCAGAGCACAAGAATCACTTTTACTTATTTTATCTTATTTTTATTGGGACTATTTATATCATTAATTATAATTATCATATATTGATTTTATTGATTCCCTGTTATTGTCAGTTTTAGCGCTGCACCTTTCTATATAATATTTATGATTCAAGGTGATATTGGTTACCTGTTTGTGCATAGCAGCTTTTATATACATTTATTTCCAGTTTTAAGGCGCTCGCATTTCTTGTTCACATATACAAGTTTTTTGTATGTGGGTCTGTCCCCACTTTCTCTGCTTACCTTTGGGTCAATGAGGCTACCAATCCTGGAGCAATAGAGAGGCACAGCAGCGTAAAAACAAAAGTAACGTACCTTAAAAGGTTGCAAAAGTACAGATCCAGACTTAATTCAGCAAGTTGCATTGTCATGATTTTACAGGCAAAAAAAAGATGCACTGGATTTTTTTTTCTTGTCCATGCATTTGCTTGTGCTGTAAAATTGAGCCAAATAAAATGGATCTCATCATAACTAAATCAATTCAGAGAATGCCATGCACCTTTTTCAGTGTATACAAGGCATTCTCTGGATAGATGAGGTGGAGATTGTGACATTATCCACCTTGTCCCATCAGATAATGCCTTGTCATGGGCTACTACAGTGATTCAATCCTCTGGATATCACATATGGATACTAATTGTACACAGGGTATTTTTCAGTGGGAATGCAGGGAACGCAGTTCTGGCACCTTTAGCACTGGATGTACTGGATGGTCCATTGATGCTGGCTGCTGGGAGATCTTTTGTCACTGATGGGGGATATGGGATCTTTTTCTGCTGGGGGATATGGGATCTTTTTCTGCTGGGTGGTCAATTGTTGCTGGAAGGGGTCTACTGTTGAGGGAGAGAAGGTGTCTACTGTTGAGGCTGCTGACTGCTGGACAGTCTTTTGATGCTGGCTGCTGGGAGATCTGTTGTCATTGCTGGGGTCTGTTGTTGATGGGGTGGTATTTTGTTGCAAAGGTCCATTGTTGCTGCAGGAATCTATTGTTGCTGGGGGGGGTCTATTGCTGCTGACTGCAGGGGACCTGTTTTACTGCTTTTCTGGTTATCATTAATACATTCCATGCAAATTACTTAGCACCACAAAATGATACTTGGTTTGGTACTCTCTAAAAGGAGTGATACTGGAAGGTGGGTAGGGGGTGGAACTAAGGGATGGTGCTTAGAGAGTGGGTGGGTGGCAGAGACAATAAGTGACTCAAAAGGGGGGAGTTCCTGCACCTATTCTCTGTGAAAACCCCCCCCTGAATGTACATAAAGCCACGCAGGAACAATATAAGTATGGCAAAAGATCATCCTGGAATTTCTGCTTTAACAAATGGTAATCTTCAAAACGCTACCCTTTTCGTCTGTCTTTTGCAATTTACATCAAATGTGGGATAGGTAGGATTAAACCAGTGTTGAATAAAAATGTACATTATTTTTATTTAATCAGACTCTCTTCATCTTCAATTATTAGTGCCTACATAACAAAAGCAGCAGGAATATAAACAACCCAAAACAGTTCATGGACATGTCTGGAAAAAATAAAGGCCAATGTTACACCTGCCTCCTGATATTCATGCCAGATTAGCACACCTGACAATAGCTTCTGGTTGAATGTTTTGTTAGCAGTGGTTATTTCAGACATTAAAATGAGTCTCTAGAGAAATATCACCAGCTGCGCTATCAGCTGCTGTACAATTCAACCACAATATTGAAAGGAAAAAAATAATAAACTGCCAGTGCTTGAATATTTATATTCTACGTTTTGTTCTAAGTATTTCTTACAATTTGTAGATTCAAGGAGTTTTAAGTGTTTTAGGTGGCAGGATTCTGTTCCTGTCAGCTAAGCTCTACCTAAAAACAAGTATAAGTTACCTCTTGACAACCATCTCTTTAAAATAGTTGTTTGAATTTCTCTTTCACGATCAGTACTTCTTTTTTTATAAGCTCATGAGAAAGCCAGAAACACTAATGCTTGCTATATATTATACAACATTCTTGTACAATTTTCCTTTAGATTTACCAAAAACCATATAATATGAAGTCAAACCTAAACAGCACTTTCAAATGTATCCAATTAGGCAGGGCCTTGTACTACATACTTGTATAGAAATTGTACAAAAAATTGTAAGAAAATTGTATAATGTATGGCCAGCCTAAGGTATGGTTGCCACCTCATCCCTTTAAAACTGAACACATATTAATTACACAGATTCTGCAGCTAATTTTACTGCAGATAAGGCACTAAGTGGGTTTAGTTACTACCTTAACCTCTTAGCGTCGGCACCTCCCAGCCCTTTAAGAGTTTCAGAAGCAGGGAGGCAGTTGGAGTTTTAGGGTCATGTGACCGCCGTGATTCGCCGTCATGGCAGTCACATGATCAGAAAAGGTTCCCATCAAAAGGGGAGATTGGGACCTTTTTCGTGAGTCATGGAATATGTGCTGGGAGCGCGCAGGGCGCACGCTCTCAGCACATACGTATTTTATAATTGCACGCAAATATGCGGCCGCTTGGCATCAAGGCTCAGACCCCGAGAAGCCGTATTTGCATGCGCTCGGGGTCAAGGGGTTAATAAGCCACAGACCCTGTGTAATTAATATGTGTTCGGTTTTAAAGGGATGAGGTGGCAACCATAGCCGAAGGCCAGGTGAAAAATCCTGTCTTACCCCTGGTTCACATCTGTGTGGGCGGTGCTGCTGCGGGACTCCCACAAGTACCTGCTGCCGCACCACCCACACAGAGGAATGCGGGACCCGCAGGTGGATGCCATTAATTCTAATGGCTCACCACTCACACTGGAAATTGCAAACGTACTGGAAACCTCAGTTCCCATGCGTGTTGCAATTTAAAAAGTAATGCAGGGACTTCTTCCCTGCATGTCCCAGGGCACGAGAGTCCATTCAAATGAATGCGCTCTCATTCCTGCGCAAATTGCTGCCTGCACAAATGCACAGATGTGAACCAGAGCTTATAAAGTGCCTTAAAAAAAATCATGTGCCAAAGTTCTCATCCTGCCCCCATGGCCACCTCAGCAATATCTTTTAACTATGAACTTGGGGAAAATAGGGTACATTTCTACAAAATAGCAG